AATCAGGGTGTGCGTCGTCCAGAGGAAAAGGCGGGTTGAAAGGAGAAGTGGACGATGAGGTCGAAGAACACGCAGAAAGATACAGAGGAGAAGAAGAAAGCTGAGAAGGCGGCGGAGGTTGGGCAGAACAGGAGAAGGGGAAGAAGGAAGGAACGACTTATCCGGGGTTAGTCAGGCACAGTACGGTGAATACAAAGTACAGCACAGCACAGTACAGTACCGTATGTATAGTAGTATAGTATAGTATAGTATAGTATAGTGTAGTATAGTATAGTAGAGTAGAGTAGAGTAGAGTAGAGTAGAGTAGAGTATAGTATAGTATAGTAGAGTAGAGTAGAGTATATAGTAGAGGAGAGTATAGTAGAGGAGAGTATAGTATAGTATAGTGCTCTGTGGTATGTGTGATCAGCAATCTGATGTTCTTACGCGGGACAATACTCCGCAGTGAGATAACCAATACACAGCTCTAGAGTCTCTGGGTGGGTTGATGAGAGGTCGTGGTAATCCCATAATACAGCCGTCCCGTGAGCTTGAATTGCAGATCGTGCAAAGAAAAGCAGCTCGTTGCCAATCAGACAGCTCTATACCAAGCGGATTGTTAGTTAATACCCAATACAGTGAGACCGGGTTGGTAGCGGATCAGACTAACCCATTCGCAGTGTATTCACCACCACCATCCTGTACGGGCGTTGCATATGTGGTCTTTGCTGCCAAGTCAACTCGACATATCATCCCACTGTGGGATGGAGAGACAAACATCCTCGTCCTCGGATGATACGTGGATGCATCACGCAGCCCAACCAGGGGAAGAACCCAGCTGTGAACAGTTCTCGCTCGAAGAAGCTGAAGTCATATGTAGCTTATGCAGGTGTAGAGCAAGCAGAGCTTCAATTCCATATGCATGTAATCTGTAGTTACGGCGAACGAAGAACCGAGCGCATCAACAACCACCCCTTTTTCTTGGCTCCGATGTGTGAGCCTCAACTCTCTTCTACTTATTCTGTTCTGTCAACCACCTGCAGCCCGCGCCGCAGCCGGTGTTCCTTGTCTGTCGACTGTTCCCTTCCGGTTTCCCCCCACGTTCAGACAAACAGAAAAATAATATGATACAAACAATACAAACTATCGCCGTCGTATCATCCTATCCCTCCAACCCCATTCTCGGCTTTTAAAACGGCCCGCGAGAATGATTAATGTACCCAGAGATAGTACCAGCTACAAAAACCCCAAGCGCAAACAAGAGCTATGCTTCACGTACTTGGGACCTGGGGTGTTTCATCAACATGTCCTCCGGGATCCAGGCATTGAAACTGTATGATGCATCTCATCCAACACATTCCGCGGTTTGTTGTTCTTTGTATCTTCCAGCGGCTGGCCCCTGAAGCTTTCCGTGGTTGGGAAATTAGATGCGCCACATCTTCGAACAGCCTGAGGCATCTTATTGGTTCCTGAGCGACGGGCTTGGCGGGATATTATCGAGTTTCCAAAATCCACGAGAACTTGAAGGTTCACGAACGGCGGATGCAGCTTTGGGTTGGTTCACTCAAACTAAAACACTAGTGGCCAAATCTATTTGCTGCCTTTCTGACAAACAGAGGTTAAAAGGGAAATAGAAGAAGCAAAATGGAACAAAAGCAAACGTTCGCCAAGCGAGATGGGCAGAGCGGGAACACAGACGCTGCACGGTTTATTGCAACCATCGTAATTAAAGAATCCGCTAAAAACAACCTCACTGGCCTATCATTTTGCATCTCGAGGCTAAAGCACAATACCACTGGCAACTGCCGTCTACTTTACCATCAACCGGATTTTGTATCTCTGCACGGGTTCAGTCTATTTCTAGCTCCCGTGTTTCAAGTCAAACTTTCAGCAAAACGTTCTCCAAACTTCGAACTTCCTTCTATTTTACCAACATGACCCGGACTTGAATGAAGAAACGGCAACTTTCCTAGGTTCCGTTGCTGGGAAAATTGCATATGGAAAGCAATGAAGATCCATCCTCGGTAGCAAAGCGCCTCTGCTTGGACAATGAGAAAAGGTATGAAGAAACCGTCGCATTCTCTACTTCCTTCCGAAACATGGGAATAAATCAGATGCACAGTTCCAGCCAGGCCCTCAGCTGTTTTTGTCAGTGCAGTTCATACACACCATATCCCTTGTGTTTTCACCTTTTCCAGCTCCTGTTGTCTATGCTTCACACCAGAAAATGTTGACACATCTGTTGACATAACTAGTTAACTAGTTAACTTGACTAGTTAGTTATATCATTTGCTGACTAATAAGTTTATAAGGAATTCACTACCACTCTCCAAGGTTAGGACTGTTTGGTCCTACCCAGGCGCGCAACTCCACTGTCACGATATGAATGGCAAGAGATCATCCAAGATATCAAGGTGCTATCTATCATCCGTCTTGAAGGTGATCTATCGCACCCACTTGAGAGTATAAAGTGAAATATCATCAGCATCAGCTCTGATATATGCTGCATGTCAAGTTCATTTTCAAGTCATAATACTAGAGTCTAATCTTTAAAGAGAGATAAGAAGAATAGAGCTGTTTCTCTTAATCCATGGATGTCACTGTCCTGTTTCGAGAGAGAGAGAGAGAGAGAGGCAAAGAAGACGTGAAGACCTTTGAAAGGACTTCAAAGTATGGTGCAAGGTCCAATGGATCAAAAGCATTCAGTACGGCATTACGTTGTCTTTTCTGGGGCAGCTAAAGAGATTTTGCCACCCACGGCACTGCATTTTCAACAACGAGGGCTATTCTTTGAGGATATGGTAAGAATAGTTTTTTGCCCCTGGTTTCCTTGGATTGGATGACATTGAGGAGATGAGTTGGCTCTTATATGTTATCCTTTAGAAATCCTTTGTTGTTTACTGACTTCTTACCCATGTATATTTTCAGACAGTGTGGCCTTTTATCGTTCATAGGCTAAGATTTGTGTCATGGTCAACATTCACTTATATAGCCATATATTCCTTGGCTGTAGTCAAAGCTGCGCTTGCAAGACCTTTTCAAGCCACTCTCTAACGCGGAAGAAAACCTGATGCACTGGCGAGATATCATTCGGGCAATGATCTGATTATATAAAGAATTTTGGAAGGCGGTCCTCAGATGGTCTCTTTTGATCCTCAAGGGACATTTCTTATCTATGTCTAATTGAACAACTATGAAGAAGCTAGATAGAACCTATCCTGCTTTCTCTCTCCCGAATCAATATACACATCAAAACCAGGAATCCTTGCTTCCTATACTTGAAAGAGATGGCAGGCACGAACTGGGGCCAAAGGGGGGGGGGGGAGAAGAATGTAGCTGTGCTGTGTCGGGATGGCTGTGGATGAAGGGCCTGGATTAAATTTGATATTTGATATACCATTTGATATGTCGGGATTGCCGATG